CTGAAAAAAACACTTGTTCCGTATAGAAGTGGTTTTGGTGCCAGGAATGACCTCTAGTCTTCCTCCTCCTAAATGGCTAGTCAGTCGTCTTGTCACTGGCTTATTTATTCCTAGAAACCCATTCCTGCAGAGCAGAGTCTGAGCACCTGGGTTCGAAGTGGATTCGGGAGTTGGACCGCCTGTGTTCACATCTTGGTTCTGCCAGTTATCGGCGGCGTGGCCTTTGCTCATGGACTTGGCCCCTCTGTGCCTCAGTTTCTACGTTGATGAAAATAGTAAAAGCACCGCTTCATGGAGTTTTTATGGAGACTAAAGCAACGGTCACATATGATGCATCTAGAACGTGCGTGGCAGACGTTTATAGCTGTTATCAGTGATTAGGGAGCAAAGTTTAGGAATATGAAATTCAGTCCTTCCTGAAGTCCTGCCTTGCTGGCTGTGCAAGATCGTTTGGCTTTTAAAAAGACTTTAACCTTGTTATTTGCAGTTCATGAACATACTGACCTGCACTCCCTTTCCTCATCTCCAACGGCCAGATCACCCTCAATTAAGTTGTAAAAAGTCTTCTGAAGATAAGATTTGCTGCTTTCCGGAAGCTTCTACTGCTACCTGACCACTTAGGATTCTTGAGGAACTAGACAAGGTGTAAACATTTTCCAATTTGTGGGCCACGTGGTCTCCGACGCACAGCTCGGATCTGCTGTCGCAGCAGGAAAGCCGATGAAAGAAACAAGGGCATGACTGTGTCTGGATGATTCATTTACAAAAATTACTAAAGGTGACAGGTTGCATCTTGTCCTGGGGCATAATATGCCACCACTGTATTAGAGGAAGATGCAAAAAAGTGAGTTATTGCTTGGCTGGTTGGGGTGACTGACCCCAATAATCCAAGGGAAGTAGGTTTGCTACTGACAGCAGGCCTGGGAGAAGCAGGGTGAAAATTCACATACCCAGGAGGTGGATCAACACCTCTGGGCCAGGAGACCAGAGGAAGACTACAGCCATTCAAGCAGCCCCTCCAAGAGGGAGGGTCCATCTGGAACAAAGGTCCGGGTGTCCTCGCTGGGCGACGCGCACCAGCCCGCCCGCCTGCGCACCCACAGGCCCCCAGACCAGCTGCAGCACCTGCAACTGAAGCCTCCATCGGCATTGCCTCTTTCCTTCCTGAGGGGCCTGAAGATGGAATTGCCTCCTTCTCCTTTATGTCCCCTACGAGGACGTCTGTGCTCAGAATCCCTAACTTCCCTCTTTCTGTCTCCTGATAACAGACAATAGCGTTTACCAAGCTGGAGTGTCACCCGGGCAGTCTGCGGCACCGTTAGAGTCTAGGTCATCACGTAGGCCGTAAGTCACAGGACAGGAGTGGGTACAGACAGAACTGGAGGAGAAGCGGCCTTTCATCACGTTGGGATCGAGGGCTCCCTTCGCGCCGACATCCTTAGTTGTGATGGCCGGACACGATGCTGGTGGCCTAGCACCGGGAAGCAGCGCGCACACGTACCACTGTGCGCGGGGTGACGGGACCGAGTTCAATGAGGGCCCCTTAGTACAAACGGGAGGCTGTGTGCGTGCACGTGCGCTGCACAGAGGACAAGGCTGGGGTACAGGTGCCTCCCGGGCTGCCAAGTGGGCCTCTTCTCCAGGAGCTTCCCGCCCACCTCCTGGGTGGGCTCCTGGTTATTCTGCTCTTGCTGTGTGACCCCCCAGCCCCCCAATAACTGGCTGGCTCAGAGATCCCAACTGGGCTAATCAGACAACCTGTGATGAGGGATTTAGAATGGTAAGTAGGGACACAAAGACTAGGAATTCTCTGGATCGCACAGAAAGATCCATGAAGTCCTGCTGCCAAGGCCCCCAGAACCAGTCTGGCTCCTTCCCTTCCTAAGCCCCAAGCACTCAGCTCTTCTTTGAATTCTGTAAACACACCCAGATCCTTCTGATAAATTGTTTTCCTTGTTAAAAAAAGAGTGGGGTAAGAGTAAAACGATGGGGACCGAAGATGGATTCAAAAATCAGGCTTATATACACAGGGAACTATATTCAATGTCCTGTAGTAACCGATAGTGAAAAAGAACATGAAAACAAATATATGTATGTGCACGGATGACTGAAACATGCTGTGCACCAGAAGTTGACACAACATTGTAAACTGACTAGACTTCAATAAAAAAAAAATCAGGCTAGAAATGCACCCCTTAATGCCCCTCGTACAAATCTGGTTCACATATTTCCAGCAGGCAAGGCAGACAGGGAGAACTGGGCCCTTACGTGATTAGTGTCCATTAGACAGAAAACAATCCGGTTGCTCAGGAGTACAGCTATTCTCGGTACCAAGTCAGGAAATTTCTCCCACGGGCCTCGCGTAGCAAACGATGTCTTCGTGACATCCTTCCAGTGGACCTGGTGGGTTTCAGGGGCTGCTTCTTACCAAGACCCTCCATTCGGGGCCGATGGCATTACCCTCAAACTCAACTTTGTGCAATTGGTTCTCGGGCAGTGGGAGCAACACATTGTCTAGGCACCTTGATCCAGGAGGAGAGTCAAGTAGGCGGAGAAGCAGATAGATTGTATATCCTCCATGCAAGCCTCACACCAGCACAAGTGAAAAATCAAGCGGGAAGGAGCCTGACGACCCTGCCAGGGAACAAGAGGTGCCTGGACTCTGCCCGCTCGTGGACCCGGACCTTCCTGCTTCATCGACTGGCGAGGTGGCACTGGCTTCTGGTTGGGGAGGGCCAGGGATCTGGGCTTGGGGGTTCAAAGGCAGCAGCACAGGGAGATTTCCTGGAACCAGGTTCTTCCTGGTCTGAACACCCCCAACCCAACTCAGAAAGCTTCCCTGAAGAAGCCGAGCCCCCAACCCACCCTAATCAATGTCTATCTCTACAAGCAGCCCCAGCCACTCCACGGACTTCTTGAGCCCCACCGGCCGCTGCCTAGCCAGGCAGAGATGAGCCTCACAAAGCTACACTCACCACACAGCATCTCACAACAACACCTTTGCAACTGGGTGTTTTCTGGTCAAGAACACTGAATGGCCTTTAAAAACACTGAACGGAAAAAGGCAGCATGGACTCCTGCTTGCTGGGGAGCTGATCACCCGGCCCACCTTCGGTACTCAGCATCCCACCTGCAGGACCCCCCGGACCTCCCAGACCTTGCATCTTGGCTGCTCCTTTCTGCCTTCAGAAATGACCCTGGTCTTAACACCCAAAAGTCTTCCCCCTCCCCAGCCAGTGACATGGATTGTAGATCTTGGCTTTTCTGACGTAACCTGTGTACTGGGGTGGGTGGTGCCCCCCAAGATTCATGTCTCTCCAGGAACCCCAGACTGCAATCTTATTGGGTCATTGCGCATGTAATCATTAAGATGAGGTCACGCTGGAGTAGGGTGGGCCCTTCACCCAATGTGGCTGGTGTCCCTAGAAGAAAAGGGGAAGAACAGAGACACACGGACGGAGAAGACCACTTGACGACGCAGGTGGAGGCAGAGAATGGAGTGTTGCTTCTACAAGCCAAGGAACACCAAGTACTGCTGGCAACACCAGAAGCTAAGAGAAAGGCGCGGAACAGATCCTTCCCTGGGCCCTTCAGAGGGGCCACAGCCCTGTGACGTCTTGATTTGGGGTTTCTGGCCTCTGCAACTGTGAGAGGATATGTTTCTGTTGTTTAAGCCACCCAGCTTGGGGTTCTTTGTTATGGCTGTCCCAGGAAATTAACACAACCTTGTTCTGATGCAAGCAACCCATACATGATGCCACCTTTAGAGAAACAGGACACCCTGGTGTAGGTCTGGTCTGACGTTCCTTCCCCTTAGAGGTGGTGCCTGATGGGACATTTGAGAATTTCAGGGTCCCCGTCCGGGAATCTGGGGGTGCCCCTTCGGGCATCCAGACATCAGTGTAGAACACACTCCCGATCTGGCTTCATACATGTAGTTCCCAACTGCGTGTCTCCCGTAATGTCTGGTGAGGACCACTCTCACGTGACATTTGTGCACATCCACGTAAGTTCGGTTATCATCGGGGATGACTTTAGGGGTGCTGGGAACAAAAGCCCAAGCCACCAAAAAAGAAAATAAAAAGAAAAGAAAGAAGACAGTCCCCCGACCTTTCCTTTTAAGTCACGGAGACCAAACCTGCACTCTGTCCCAGCCTCACAGATCAAGGAAAGCTCCAACCTGCAGGTCTTGATGCAGATCCAACCCGGAGAGAAGGGAGGACCAGCCCAGACCTCCGACACCCAAGGGCAAGAACGTTTTCCAAATCACTGTCTTCCTGCACAGGAACTTCCTACGTCATCGGAAGGAGCCGTAAAGACTAGGGAGACGCACTGAGACACAGGCCAGGAGAAGATAAGCTCCATCTGCTTGCTGGTTCGCTTGTCCATTTCCAGTTGTGATCAACAGCGCTCAACTGAGAACGTCTTATCCTTAGATCACAAGAACCCAGGAGCGTCAAGAACCCTCTTAATCACACATTTCCTTGCCTTGTTTGCTAACAAATCAATCCAAGCTACAGAGGTTCTAAGGCAGAAAAAGTCAGGATCTGCCAGACACAGGTGCATTCAAATCCGCCAAATACCGAGCCACGAGCACAGGGCGCCGCACCGGGCAGAGCAAAGCAGGGCCTGGGCTCTGGCCCTGGGCACGGGCCCGGCGTTATCCTCACACCACCAGTGTTTTCAGGGAAGGCTGGAGGCCAGCATTTCATGTGGCTGTCCTGACAACACACACGGTGAGTATCGGGGTGTTCACATGAACCCCACAAGCCATGCTACACCGGGTGGATCAGTGCAGGAAGAAAGTGACGGTGGAAACTGACACTGTTCTGGAGCTAAATCTGTTCTTGGGGGATGGGCACAAACGTACACACTCGGCACCATCACCAACAGCCCCAGGCCAGCCCTGGAGCCCCCGCAGGCGGCCCAGCGGCCACGTGGCCGTGAGAAGGTCCCCGGCAGCCCTGCATCCACCTGCAACAGTAGCATCAATGCCTTACTTTTTCTGGAGCGGGAGAAGAACCTGATGCCCCCGGGCGAGGTAGACGGGTTCGAGTTGGGGGAAGACTCTTTGGACGAGGAGCGGAAGATCCCGCTGAAGCTCATGCGGCGTGGGGAGCGCGGCGGAGACTCCTGGTAGGAGAATGGGAACACGGTTTTGGGGGAGCCGGGGCTCGTCTTGGGCCTCACGGGTGCAGACACGGGGCTGGAGGGCCGGTGCTGGGGGCCCCTGGAGAAGAACCCTTTGGAGGGGCTGCCCGAGCCAAAGGGGCTGTCCACCTGCGGAGAGACGGACAGACGGTGAGGTCACTTGGCACCTGCGCTCCCACCGTCCACGTGCCCAGCCCGAGAGCATCCTTGTGGTCTTCCACGGACAGAGGCGGCCTGCGGGGAGCACAGACCCGAGGCCAGCCCGTCCCAGGCCGGTCAGCACCACCAGCAGGCCCACTGGCCTGCGTCTCGCTCTCTAGAAGGGGCTTCCGGGAGGCCGGGGAGGCTGGGCAGGGCAGCAAGAGCGCTCACATCGGCTCCTTCCCCCTTTATCCTGTTTGCGGGTCTGTCTCCTGGCCTTCACTTCTTGTTTGTTTTTTTTTTAAACTAGCTTTTTTAAAAAAAACCTTAAAAACATTTTAAACCTTTACTTATTTGGGGGGGTAATTAGGTTTATTCATTTATTTTTGATGGAGGTACTGGGGGTTGAACTCAGGAACTCATGCCTGCTAAGCATGTACTCTACCCCTGAGCTATACCCTCCCCTCTTTCTGGCCTTCACTTCTCAAGACATTTGTCCTTCTTGAGGTCTGACTGCACTGGGATAATGCTCTCCTGCCCCCCTTCAAAGGAGGAAACACAAATCTGTATGCTCGAAAGGCAGTAGGACTGGGGCTCCATCCAGAGGGGCCCTGGCGTGGAAGTGATGAGTTTTTCACCTCCAAGCTGCCCCGGCAGTGGAATGGCGGGGGGGTAAGGGTGACAGAGGTCGGGCAGGAAGTTAATGAGGCCAAGAATATCTCAGGCTCACTTCAGCGATGACTTGAAATTGTAGATATGGTTTGAAAAATGGCTGGACTCTGTATTTAAGCCAAAGCACACAACTCATAGACTCGAGGAATTTCGAATGTATCCTGCTGGTGGGTTTAGGAGCATCTGAGTGCCTGGGTCTGACCCCGGCTCGTCCATCACTGGGCATTCTTAGACTCACTAAGCCTCAGTCTCCTCGTATGTGAAATCAGGGGCCATACCCGCCCTTCAGGGCCGTCTGAAGGAGCATCAGCACAGATGTGATGCACAGGAATCATGCTCTGAGCGTTAAAAACAGCTGCCGCCTCATTGGGAAACCTGCAACGTAGGAGCCAGACAGGCCCACCCAGCTCTGCAGCACGAGAGAAAAACGACTCATCCACTGGGCTCTGGGCAAGGACGCGGCCTGGCAGGAGTTTCCAGCACACTGAGACCCTGGGTCCATGTGGCTGGTGACCACTGGTGTGCGGGGAAGGGATCTGTCCCTTTGAGGGGCCTGCCAGACCCGGGACCCCTGTGAGCTCTCCCACCACTAGAGGGCGCCCCATGCTGGGCTCGCAGTTCCTTAAAGGAAGTGATGCCCTCGTTGGGGCGCCACCTTCAGTGACCCTCAACCACACATCCCCTCCTCCTCGCTGGACCCTAAGGGACCAGTGTGGCCGTGGGGGTGGGAGATAGAGGATGCGCAATAATCTCCTTGCCCAGGGGCCTTCTGAGGCAGAGAGGCTGAGCTCCACCAGAGCCTTGTAACTCAAGCAGACAGCAAAGTTCACGTTTCTCTTTCTCTAACCATTTGATGGGAAAAGCATTTAGAGTCTCCATTTCCAGAGCATTTGGTTCAGCCACCATTCATCTACCTCTGAGACTCAGGCTTTCTGGAGCTTTTCTGAATCCTAAGAATGGCTGACACGGGGAAGATTTTGCAGTTGTGGGCGGGGTCTGCCTGTGAACATGGGGTGTGAGCAGCAGACACAGGGACGGAGACGACCCCACAGCAGGTGCGACAAGAAAGACTCTGGACAAAGACACAGGAGTTTGAATCCCAGCTGGGCTTCCAGCAGTGACAAGTGACTGGAGGCAGTGCCATCTATCCAACGGGACCCCTAGGCTGCCTGCCCCACCCCGGCGTGGTGCGGATGATGGACATGCCACAGGGGAAGCACCCTGCACAGCTCCGGGCATGCAGTGAGTACTCCATGCTCTCTGGTCAGCTCTCATCATCATGAATTTGGTACCAATAGGTCCTTGTTACCCGTGGGGTGTGCGGGAGGCAGGGCTGATTCACAGAAAGGCTCCCTGTGCTGGCTTCGTGATTAAAATGCTCCTAATAAAAATACTTTGAACAGATATATTGGTAAGACTTAACAGAGACTTGCAAGTCCTAAAGAAAAGAAAATGAACATGTATACTGGTAAATATCAACTACTGTGTCAAACTTTGAAAGGATAAGACCACCATGGTGAATGGTAGATCTCTGTGCTCTAGGAAATTGTACTGAAACAACACACTTTTCCAAATTATCACTATAAGTATAATTTCAAAGATGAACATTTTTACAGTATTTTCAGTTTTATTATAAAAATGCGCGCACACACACACAAACCCCTTATCCTCCTTTAAGGGCAAGCACGGAGGCTCTTCAGCAAGGGGATGGTGCAGTCAGACTTAATTAGGGCAGACATTCTAGGAGCCTCTCGGCGTCACCCTCTGAGGGTCACGGAGCTGGAAGTGGGGGATGGGACCTCAGGCCCGTGGCTTTAACCCTCATTCCATACGTCTCCTAACAGCAGCAGAAACAGCTGGGAGGGGAAGCAGCCTGCACAGGTGAAAGGGAAGAGGAGTCAAGGTCAAGTCTGAGGGCAGAGGTAGGGAGTCGCGATGCTAGGCTAACCCCACAGACATCCTCTTCATCCCGCACCGTGAGCTCCGCCTGGGGAGGAGGGAGATTTGCTGAGCAGGTGCTGACGTTCGTTCCAGCCAGGGACAAAAAGGCAGTTGAGGGTCCCCACTAGGACTCGTGCTGAGGGAGTCTTGCCTCAGTGGCAGCTCTAGTGAGCCGTGAGAAGCTGTGAGGAAGTGGCCTTACCTTGCGAGAAGAATGCTTTTCTGAACTCTCCAGGTCTCCATCCAGGAGCGGCATGGCAAAGGCACTCAGGTCCTAGGACAGAAAGAGAGCACGAAGTCAATGACCTGGGCCCTCCTGTGCCCGCCTGGCCTCATCCAGGGGCCCACATGGCTCTGCGTGTGCATCGCCATCCCCTCCTGAGTCTCCCTCCAATGCCAACCACTGGGGATGAATGAGGACGGCCAAGAAGGTAATCGAAGGGGTAGAGATGCCAGCTGCTCGCAGATCCTGACCTCTCTGCACATTCCCTTCCTCCCATCGCCCCAGGGAAGGAGCAGGGAGACTAAGGAGGCCAGGACTAGAGGCAGGAAGGGAAAGAGCAGGAGAGGAAAGCGGGGGAGGGGAGAACAGAGCCCATCTCGGGGCTTCGGGGAGTGACCGACGGGCAGGACTTCATCTCATGACCTGAACCTGGTGCAAGGATGTGCGTCCTCCTGGGACAGATGACAGGGCCAGCGGTGTGGGCGGGGTGGGATGGGGGTGGGGGTGTCGAGTGGGGGTGCTGACAGCTGGGGCAAAGTGGTCAGTAAAGCCTGATGACATTGTGGTCCAGAGAAGTGGCCTTGGGGGAGTAGCTCGCTGCAAACTCGTCATGTCTGAAATGAAGTCATCATGTCACCCTCTGTCCTCCAGTATCTTGGCCGGTGAACAGCTCCACATCCCAGGAACAAACCCCACCTGGACTGGACAACCTGCTGCATCCCTTTCTTTTCTTCTCTTTCTTCCTTTTTTTTTTAATTGTAGTAAAATACATGTAACACAAGATTTACCATCTTAACCATTTTAAGTGTGCAGTTCAGTGGTGTTAAGCACATTCACACTGTTGAGCAGCCAACCTCCGGAGCCCTTTCCATTTTGCAAGCTGAAACTCTACACTCATTCAACAGTGACTCCCCAGCCCCTTCCCCAAGCCGCTGACATGCCCCCCGTCCTCCGCAGTTCTGCTCCCTGGCTCTGTGAATGTGATGACCCTAGGGACCTCACATAAGTGGAATCGTCCGCTATTTGTCTTCTGGTGACTGGCCTATTTCACTGAGCACCATGTCCTCAGGTTCATCCACGCTGTAGCCCATGTCAGGGTTCCCTTCCTTTTAAAGGCTGAGTAATGTTCCATTGTATGGATGGACCACATTTGTTTCTCTGTTCATCCATCAAGGGACACTTGTGTTGCTTCCACCTTCTGGCCACTGTGAATAATGCTGCTATGAACGGAAGTGCTAAGGTTGACCTGTGTGCCCCCCAGCAAATGCACAGGTTGAAGTGATTACTCTAAAATGACTTCAGTCCAGTGACTGGTGTCCTTATAAAAGAGAAGACTGGGAGGCAGACACAGAGGAAGACCATGTGGAAACAGGGAGAAGGTGGCCATTGATAAGCCAAGGAGAGAGGTCTCAGAAGAAACTCACCCTGCCAACGCCTTGACCTTGGACTTCTAGCCTCTAGAATTGTGAGAAAATACATTTTTGTTGTTTAAACCACCCAGTTTGTGATACTTTGCTATGGCAGCCCCAGAAAACTAATATAATAGGTGTACAAATCTCTCTCAGACCCTGCTTTCAATTCTCCTGGGTACCTACCCAGATGCGGAGCTGCTGGATCCTACAGTAATTTTATTTTTAATGTTTTTGAGGAACCACCATGCTGTTTCCTATAGCAGCTGCACTTTTTACATTCCCACCAAGCGTGCACAAGGTCTCCATCTTCTCCATATCCTCACCGACACTTGTCATCTTCTGTTCGGTTTCCGTTTTGTTTTTATGGTGGCCGTCCCAGTGGGTGTGCGACGGTAGCGCACTGTGGCTTCCATTTCCCTTGTCCTAATGTAAACTACTTGTATAACTTCTCTGGAAGAATGTCTATTCAAGAAACCCTTTGACCATTTTTTAACCAGGTTGTTTGTTGTTGAACTGGTAGTTCTTTATAGAATATGGATGTTAACCTTTTATTTGTAAATATTTTTTTCCTCTGCTGTATGTTGCCTTTGACTCTGACAGTGTCTTTTGGCCCCCAGAAGGTTTTAATTTTGAAGTTGTCCAGTTGATCTATTTTTACTTCGCTGCCTATGCTTTTAGTGTCATATCCAAGAAATCTTTGTCAAATTTAATGTGACAGAGCTTTCCCCCTATGTTTTTTCTGAGTTTCAGAGTTTTAGCTCAATACTTAAGTCTTTGATCCATTTTGAGTTACAGTAGTTCCCCCCTTATCAGCAGTTTTGCTTTCCAAGGTTTCAGTTGCTTAAGGTCAACTCAGGTCTGAAAATAGTTAATGGAAAATTCCAGAAATAAACAATTCACAAATTTTAAATTTTGCACCATTCTGAGTGACTTGATGAAATCTTGTGCCGTGCCGCTCTGTCCCTCCTGGGACGTGAACCATCCCTGTGACCAGGGTATCCCACGCTGCATATATGCTACCCCCCCATTTATTTAGTAGCCTTCTCCATTATCAGTTCGACTGCTGCAGTATCACAGTGCCTGTTTTCAAGTAACCCTTATTCTGCTTAATAATGGCTCCAAAGTGCAAGAGCGGTGATGCTGGCAATTTGGACACTGTCTTACTCTGCCTGCTTTATACACTCAGCTTTATCGTAAGTAAGATAGATAGGAAAAAGCATCGCATATATAGGGTTCAGTACTATCCATGGTTTTAGGCATCCTCTGGGGGTCCTGGAACATATCCCCTGTGCATAAGGGGAACTACTGCAAATTTTGTATATGGTATAATAAAGTAAGGGTCCAACTTTATTCTTTCACATGTGGCTATCCAAATTCCAAAAAGACTATCTTTCCCCAGTGAATGGTCTTGGCACTCTTGTTGAAGATCAGTTGGCCATATTCATGTGGGAGGGTGTCTATTTGGGCTCTTGATTCTATTTCATTGGTCTATATGTCTTTTTATGCCAATACCACATTGTTTTGATGATTGCAGCTTTGTAATAAGCTTTGAGATTAGGAAGTGTGAGAACTCTTTGTTCTTTTGTTTTCCCCCAAGATTGTTTTGGCTACTTGGGGACCCTTGAGGGGTTCACACAAATTTTAACATGGATTTTCTTCTATGTCTGCAAAAATATGCCATTGGGAGTTTGATAGGAATTGCACTGAACCTGTAGATGTCTTTCGGTATTACTGATATCTTAACAATATTAAGTCTACCAATCCATGAACATGGGATGTCACTCCATTTGTTTGTGTCTTCTCTAATTTCTTTCAGCAACATTTTGTAGTTTTCTGTGTGTCTAACCTTTTTTTCAACCCACTCCATCCCCCCCACCCCTCTGCTGCTCGGGTCCAGGTCTGCCCTGTCCTTTGTCCTGCCCTCTTCGGGTTTCCTGGTTGTTCCCTGAGCCTTTCAACCTGGCTTGTTTCCAACCATCTGCAAACCTCTGCTTGGAGAGTGATCCCCAAGACCGTGGCCTCACTATGCCAGCCCCTCCCCCCGAGTCCTGGGGATTCCACCGTAGCCTAGGCAACGGCTCCCACACCTTGTCAACGGGGACATGCTGGTGAGCTCTTCCGGATGCAGATCCCAAACTCAGCCGCTCAGGCTGGCTGCACTTTAGAATTACCTGGGGAGCTTGGGTCCCACTGCAGAGGTGAGCTGATGGGTCTGCCGTGCGGTGCAGGCCTCATGGCGGTTCAGGAGGCAGCCCAGATGGGTTAGTCTTGGGAGGAGTCACAGTCAGGAGCTCTCGGCTGGGCCCTGCGGGTCCCATCCAGGCCCTGTGGGTTTGCCAACCCCCGCAGCCTTATTTCTGATGTGCTCTGCGCCCATCTCCTTCTTTTAGCAAGAGCCCAGGCAGACTCTTTACAGGTTTCTTTTTCTTGTTTTTAACTTTAAAAACTTTCTTTTTTGTTGTTATTTTTCAACATTTTTTGTTCTGTTTTTATTTTTTCTTTTTAATCTTCTTTTCCCTCTTCTTTTTGTTTTCTTTCTTTTTTTTTAAGCTGTTTTTTTTGGGAGGGGTGTAATTTGGTTTATTTATTAAAAAAAATTTTTTTTAATGGAGGTACTGGGGATTGAACCCAGGATCTTGTGCGTGCTAAGCACGCACTCTACCACTGAGCTATACCCTCTCCACTCTTCACAGTTTTTAAAACACAGCCGTGTCTGTGGACACTTTGCCTGGAATGCTGTCTCAACTCTTCAAACACGTCAGTTCAAGGCCCCTCTTTGCTACCCGTCCAACCCCCTCCTGGGGAAAACAGACCCCTTTGGCTTCCCTTTGGCCCCTGCAGGGCTGCACCAGCCTCTAGCTCGAAACCTGGCCCAGGCAGGATATGACTTGGCTGCTGGCCCCCGTCTCCAAAGTTCCAAGCCCTTTCCTCCCGCTGGGTCGGGCTGCTCCCCCTGCCCATCCACTCCCACTCCCCAACCCTCAATCCTGGTTCATGGGGCAAACTCCCACCCTCTTGCAAAGCCCCATTCAGATATTATCTCTGACTGGGACCCCCCCACCCCAGGCAGAATTAATTATCTTATCCATATTCCTACAGCACCTTAGATGTACCTTTATTACAGGACTTATCGTGCTGTGTTACAGTCATTTATCAGCCTCTTTCCCTACGTGGACTGTGCACCGGTCAAGGGCCAGGGGAAGTATCCACCTTGCTCTTCTCTGCCTGGTGTGCACGCAGCAGGTGTGCAAAAGTGTTTGAATTCGCACGTGGATGGAGCACCCCTGGCCTGGGCAGCACGTGTTTGGGCACAGGGTCTGTGCTGATGGGCCAGCGAATGGGCAGGCCCCGCATGGCTGCAGTTCACGAGGGGAGGAGGAACCAGGTGTGGGCGCTTATCTCCCTTTTTAATGAGTACATTCCTCTCTGGTTTCAAATAATCATTACCCTCGAACATTTGTTCAGCATAGCAGTTTCTGCACGCGAAAGCCCTTTCACACACACTCGTTTGTTCCTCACGGAACCATCATGCTCTAGCGACTTCACCCTGGTGGTTAAGTGACTCAGGCCAAGGCAGTCAGACCAGGACGCAGGTCTCACCCCCATCCCAGGCTGCCTGAGGCTCCGGGCCAGCCCATG